TGTCTGATATACAGCCTGCATGTGTTCAGTGTGGTCCACAATTATGTTTAAGTGTGTCTGATATACAGCCCTCATGTGTTCAGTGTGGTCCACTTATATGTGTAAGTGTGTGTTGTACCCCTGCAAAAGGGGGATAAATAATCACGAGAGTGATATGTTTTTCCTCAGCAAGAACTTTACTGCAATCAGTTTGTACAAAAATACAATCATTGACACATGAAGAGATTTACAGGAGAGTAGAGAGTACATAGACTATTTATGTTAAACACTATTCAAAGTATTACTTGAGATATTTCCCCGAGCACAAACTAGCTTATATTCAGTACTGTTAAAACTCTCTTAAAGTGCATAAAACATATTATACAGATAAAACAAATAAAATATCACTACTAAATATTACTGTCTGTGTACGTGTGAATTCACAAAATGGTGGCAGTAGACACAGCTACTATTACACCGTCAACTCACGTAAGTTACACACACTACAGTACTCTCGGTAAAACTTAGTTCTAAAGTACCCAAAAATGTAACATTCTCTTAAAACGTATGACATATTAGATTCATACAGACATGTTAACGCTGTTTAAAATCCACAACATACCTGCAAAAGGGGGATAAATAATCACGAGAGTGATATGTTTTTCCTCAGCAATAACTTTACTGCAATGAGGAAAATATCGCAGTTTCCCCGAGATATGTGGGTGGAGACCGAAGCAATCGATCTCACTCAAGAGCAAGACCACTATGTAGATCACAGTTTAACACTACGTATCTCAAACTACACAATTCAGAACAAAGCAAACGATGCAAGAAAACACAATCTTATTATTTCAAACCACATATTCATGTGTGATGAGTTTTAACTCATGGTTTCAAATTATGCTGTATGTACGCATTTGTTTCTGCCCTTTTAAACCTTTTTGTGACTTAAAAAAAATTTTATACTATTTATAATAACATAGTTTATGCAAAATCAATAATATGCCACACAATATACAAAAAGTAAGATGCAAAATTAAAAACATAACTGACAAAAATACAACAAATAAAAGATACCTACTATAATAAAAGTAACAATAAATACTGTAGCAGAGTAAAAGATGCAAAAGGTAAAATGTGATGAGTACAAAAGGTGTGTTAAGTTTTCTTTTAAAGGTAGTAAGATGTGCACGTTCTCCAATCTCAAAGTAGGGAGAAAGCTTAGAAGCTAAATTATCAAGGCTGAAAGAGAATCAGTGAGAACAAATTACTTAAGATGAATGGGTTGAGAAATATTTATTCATTAAATATGCAGCATCATTTTACGTTGATGCCAACTCCTCCTGCCCTGAATATATTTTTATTACATATCAGTAAGGCACAGATTTCTTTAAGCATGTTTCAGTTAAAGGCACAGCATTGAGAAAAGGAGCGGGGGAGCCAGGCCTTTTTCCTGTTCTGCAGACCATATAAATGCAGTGTGGAGATAGATCTGTAAATATGAGACATGGATGTTTGGTTCCCCACCCTCTTATCTTGGGAAGCACATTCTTCAGAAAGACATCTTGGAATTGATCAACTTTTAAATGTTGCATCAGCTGCATGATGTTTAGACAAGTTACTCTGAAAGATTTGAGAGGTTTTACATAATAGTTCATACATCACAGTCAGAATCATTGTTGTAATTCACTTTTTATGTAAGCTTTTATTTTGTTCTCCAGATCATTGAAGTTGGATCCGTGTGCAGAACACACAGACGTAAGGACACATGGCTTGTACAACACAGTCTGCCTCAGATTACGTCAAAAATGCCAGAATATCGCTCGTGGGAAAATTAAAGAATCTCTCAGTGATTCTGGAGAACTTGAAAGAGAAACGCGTATTGAGTGATGAGGAGGTTTGTGTAATTGAGGCAGAGCGAAATGACTACGATAAACACAGACAAATACTGGACTCAGTCAAAAGAAAGGGGGAAGCAGCCTGCTACGAGTTCCTCAGGATTCTTGACGTGACGAGAAAGTGGACCTTAGACAAGGACCTGCACTACTGGATCAGCTGCTTTCCCTTCAACGAAGACTCACAAACAGATACAAGCTACTTAAAAGGTATGTGAAAGCCCAGTTCTAACTGATAGTGTGTCACATCTTTATTATTTAGCTTTATGGGGCTGATTTGATGTAACTGGTATTTCTCAACCTATTCACTCATGTGTTTGTGACTAATGGGAACAACAGTGTTTTAAACTGGTTTAGTATTGAGGGAGAACGCTGCAGACGTCAGCTTCTGAGCGGGCTGTAATGTGATCACACCGTCAATGTGCTTCAATGCTTCCTTTCTTATCTCCTTTAGCATAGGATACACTGCACCATCTTTTACCAAAGGAAAGGAGATCATGAAAACAAACAATATGCCTTTCGTGCATTATTTTCATACATTCATATACTATTCATGTAGACAGTGACAACTATTTGTTCCACTTTATTTTCTTTTATCTATTTTAAACATGTAACAAATGGGTAACAAAATAAACAAGAATAACAAATACAATGGACAATAACTATAGCTGTCAATAAACATTTTCTTTGCAAATTTGAGATACTTAAACTTTATTTGAGTATTTCTATTTTCTAATACTTTATACTTCTACCCCGAGGTAAATATTGTGGTTTTTAATTCACGACACATATCTGGATATCCCCAGAGTTCTCTGATACTGGACCAACTCAAAAATATTGTCCTCATTAGTCACTTGGACACAAAAACATGGGAAAATATATCCAGGTTGAAAAATACCAAAGTTACCCTTTAATGTGTGTGCGTGCAAATACTGTGCTGTAGTATTATATATAGTATATTTATTTACTCACTATTGTTTTTATTTTAGGCTCAAGGCCGTGCCGCAAATATCAGGGAAAGTTGAAGAAAAAAGCACAAAAAATATCCAATCAGTTTTGGACAGCAAACAAAAACCTGTTTGAAGGAGACAATAAGCCCGATCTGTCGTACACGTCACTTGTGTTAGACAAAGAAAACATTTCTTCTCCAGTTAAAGTCAAGAACTTCAAGAGCAAGAAAGGCAAGAAGAGTCGCCCTAAGAAGTTAAGGACATACATCCCCGAGAACAAAGCAGAAACTTCCCCCAGTGACCTGCTGAAAACAGGTAGAAACATACTGTTGGTCGGTAAACCTGGGATTGGAAAGACAGCAGTCACTCACCAAATGTTGAAGCTGTGGGCAGAAAGAGACAACGAGGAGCTTGATTACATGTTTTACTTTGACATGAGAAAAACATCCGACATCAGGAACTTGGAGGATCTTCTCTTCGGTGTGTTCAGTGAACCAGAAGAAGGCAAAGAAGAGGTTTTAC